TAGCAGTTTGAAAGCACGTCAAAAATGCAAGTAGAAAAATAGGAACCACCTTTGGTGGGAAGGTAACAGCGTTTCGCACACCTTCGGTGTTTAGTCATGCCTGCCACATGACCACGGAGACATCTTCGGACAGCACTGGCTCTTCTGCTTCGAAACGGAGATGAGCACGGTCCCCTGGAGTCGGGAACGGCTAGCACATATGTGCGAGGGGAACCTTCACCTTATGTCTGAATGCCTAAATACTCAAAGTGTTGCTCTTGATTTGAATACCTGATTTTTAGGCTCTTTCTTCACTCATAATTTAAGAAAGCATCAGCAGATTATGTCCATCACAACATTTTCTCTTGATCCTCAAGCTTTGCGAATTTTGCAGAATTTTAATACATTTTATACATTTCCTCTAAGATGGTTTTCCTTGCATACCTTCCATGTGTACAGCCATGTAGGTAGCCTCACTTGTTGAAGTCTGGAGAATCTCTCCACTCCGGAATGGGCAATAGGCCGATAGGGATTGGCTGATACACAGTCTAAAAATATGATTTATGCTGTGAAGAGCAAACTGCCCCCCCAGGTTTGGCAGCCGTTCCCTTACTGGTTCCGTAATGGCTGTAAAACACTTCAACCAGTTTGGAGGAAGGGTCCTCAGCTGGGAACAATATATAGGAGGTTTATATTGATTCTGCAGTTTGTCACAGGTATTTCCTTCAGAATTACCTTGAAGGCCACTGGAGGATTGACCTGGTGACTTAATCACAGTGTATGTGATAACTAGGCATTCCTATTTGTAGAACTGCTGAAGCAAACATGTTTGTAAGATGCCACAAGAAACTTTCTCAATTTGCTGTGTGAGTTTGATGAACTTGAGGTCTATGATTGGACAGATGATCTGTTGATTGGAATTTGGAGGCTTCCCTCATAGTTAATCATCCTTACATCACTGTCCAATTGGATTAACACCATGTATGATGTAAAAACCATGATCACAAAAATAACCACAACTGCTTGAAAGTGTTAGTTGGTCCAGAATGGAGTGGTGTGCACAATTTTGGGTGCATCAACCTTCAATGTTTAGCACTGTGGTGGTGCAATCTACATTGCCACAAATATGTTTGTGGGTGAATTCAGGATACTGGTCAGCCAGAGGTTTCTGCCTATTCCACCAGATTCCATAGATTGGCATGCTCCAGATCCTCTCTATTAAACAATGACATCTGGTGTGACTTTGGCAATATGCTGTCTCTGTTGTGGCACCAGCCTTATGATACAGACACCCCCACAATCTGGCATGTTTCAACCCTCTAGCCTTTGCAGACAGATGAGAAGACTTGAGATATCCCCTCAGGATGTTAGGTAAAGGTAAAGATTCCCCTCGCACTTATGTGCTAGTCATTCCTGACTCTAGGGTGGTGGTGCTAATCTCCATCTCAAAGCCGAAGAGCCAGAGTTGTCTGAAGACGTCTCTGTGGTCATGTGGCCAGCATAACTAAATGCTGAAGGTGCACAGAACACTATAATCTTCCCATTATTTGTTTGGGACGAGGGGGGTCAGAACACATGGGTGATTTATTTCCTAAAAGATTAGTCTTAGAACATAGAAAGTTGGAAGGAATCTTGGGGGTCATCTAATCCAACCCTATACCATTTCAGAGAAATGGCTGTCCAATCTCTTCTTAAAAGTCTCCAGTGATGGAGCACCCACAACCTCTGAAGGCAAGTACTGTATTTTTTGGATTATAAGATTCACCTTTCTCCCCCCCCAAAAAGAGGGAGAAAATCTGTGTGCATCTTATACACTGAATACAGCATTTTTTCCTTCCGAAACCCTGCCCCCTTTGCAAAAATGGCCATGCATAGCCTTTAGGAGGCTTCTGGAGTGCTCCTGGGGGCTAGGGAGGGCAAAAATGAGCAAAACATGGGGTGAGTTTTGCTTGTTTTTGCCTCGTCAGCCCCCAGGAGCACTCCAGAAGCCTCCTAAAGGCTATGCATGGCCATTTTTGCAAAGGGGGCAGGGTTTC